CCTGACATGTAGACATTTTCTTCATTAATGTTAGACAGCCACTATGGGACTAAAGTGGGAGTTTGTGTAATTCAGCTGCAAATGGGGACTGCAGTAAAACTACTAAAAGTTAAAGCCTGACTAAGGCTAGGATTCCCCAGGGCACTCTGAAGCCTAAGGCAGGGCTGGATGTAGCCCTCATGTTAGGAAAACGGAACTGAATATAAAGGTGCTGCGGCAGCATTTGCTGCTGCTTTGTGGGAGAGGTGTAAACCTTCTCTAGAAGAGCATCTGGGGCACTCTGCACATTGACTGCAGCTTCACTGGTTTCAGCACCGATCTGTGACCTCAGACCAAAGGACTTGGACCCCTTAGTGATTGTGTAATGCACAAAGGTGCCTTCCATTCCATCCTTCCCACTCCTTGCAGTGATCTCTCCCAAGTCTGGAGACTTCACCACAAAATCTCTTCTTACAGGAATACCTTAGAAGACAGACAGATACAGCAAGGAAAGAGAATGAACAGTGCTTAAACTGAAAATATATTCAGATTTTTAAGAGTGTATCTTAAAAAAAAGCAACAAAAGGAAAACGACAAGGACAATAATAAGGAAAAAGACAATAATAAGGAAAAGCAGTGTTGTATGCAGCCAAGACGTGTATATAGTGCAGGGAAAAGGTGTGAGAGGATGGCACAGCCAGAACATTGCCAAAAAGTTTCCTAGCTTTGCTACTCTTTCTTTCAGGTAGAGGGGAATACATTTATATATAAACATAATAATAGCAAGTCCTTTGAAATTATACAACAATTTAGCTCAAAGACTTTTAGAAGCCAAGGAGTTTCCTGACTCCTATTCTTATATTCACTTTACTAGGTTTTTTATTCATCAGGTAGATGAAAAAAATATAATTGACATATTAAAAAAATAATTGCAGGGGATGGAATCATAAGGAAATTCTCTTTTCTGCACATTGGCTGTTATAGCACATGGTTCAGATAAATTTTCCTCAGAATTTTTAAAGCCTATTGTGCAAAAGCCTTTCTCTAGATCTGTTTCCCTTAATAGAAAAAGTATAATCAATTTAAGGATTATAAGCATGTACTTTTTTTTTCAGATGTCATAAATGCCTCTTTCTGGAAAGTTGCAGTGTGGTGATTATTGCTTCATTACTTGAGTTTGAATAATCTCACTTGGGTAGGTAAAGCACAATCAACTCAAAGCAGCTACTCTATGGTACAACTAAAATCAGAAAGGTACAAAATAATCCCAAAATATCTAGGAGAGCTCAACATAGTTATTAGGATTGAGCTTTTTGTTGGTTTTGTTTGTTTGGAGAGAAGCTGTATGATACAGCTAGTCCTGTCTGACTGTACTTTGGAAAGAGATTTTTCTCTCAAAGAAACATAGAAGTAAAAAAACACCCTAACTTGTTTAACTGCAAAATGTGTGTACTTCCTACTAAAATCTGCTCAACTGAAGGCTTACAAATTAGTCTCTGGAGGCAGGAAAGGCCATAAAAAGAAAACAACTTGACTTGCTTTCCAAGAGCTTGTAGGATTGTACAGAAGGCAATAAGCTGTTGCCTGCACAATGTAGCCTCATTCTCAGAAAGGCAGACTACATCCAAAGCAACGTCTGCTGAAGCAGTGCAATACCTGTATATTCTACCCTTTCTGGGATCCCAGTATGAGCTCACTTACAGGTGAAATAATTGAGCTGACAACTTTTTCTTTCCATATCATTATTTGATCAGTATTTAATGAGATTATGTACTTTAGTACCAGCTCCTGGTAAAACAGCACAGAATAACAGCAGTTTTCTAAACCTTGAGATCAGAAATTTTACCATTTACAAATAAAAACATCTGAAAGCATGGTCCAGTGCTGAATCTAATTCCAGCAAAAGACATAACTATTAGGAAATCTAGAGATAATTTTACAGGAAGGAATTACAGAAGTGGATTGTATATTTTATGTAAGTCTAAATTTGAGCTGATGGTGAGACAAGAACATTATCCTAAACAAAACCAGAATAAAGTACCTGAATTGGGGGAGAATGTCATCATTTGCACTCTGTCTACATATAGCTTTACTTATAACTCAATATGGTATCAGATGAAGTTCATACTACAGAGAAAGAGGCAATCTAAAACATGTAGTAATAGTGTTTTGGGTAGAGGGTGAGGGTGCCATCAGTGGTGACTGATTAATGGTTCCTCTGATGCAAATTAAGACAACTGCATCTCTCATTGTCTGCTCTGTACTGATTAATGGCAAGATAGAGGACAGCTGAGACTGAGAACACATTAATATTTTCCAACAGAGCAGCCAGCCTTTATTTCTTGCAAATAGCTACTCCACGAATGAGTGAAGCATTCACTATAGCTGCTAGCTGAAACTATTCCTGTCGATCAAATTATTGGTGATTTGCTTTGAGTACTAATGGGTTCAGATATGAACCTAGACTGGCCAAAAGTGACCAAGGCAAGCATGGGTGTATAATACTGTGTGGATGCTCCTCTGTAAATATCACCCACAATCATGAAATTTCAATCCACAACTGAATCTCCTTTGAGTACCATGGAATGTTGACTGGAAAGCTGTGCCCCTGGCATATAACTTTAAATGTACAGACATACATGTTTTCCTCCCTTTCTTCAGAAAGGCTTGGTATCAGAAGCAGGTGGAATGAGTTTTTGATACAACAGTGACTTTCTGCTACCACATTGGGAACAAGTACCGTAGAAGATTAATCGGAAGTGTAACTGCCAAGATAAACGGACAATGGCTGATCTTCATTTTGGCAATTGACATTTGTTTACTTAAGACAGTCCACTAATCTCACCACCTTTGGAGCAAAGCAGGAAGCTCTGACCTTCCATTACTTTTAGACTAGAAAAGGCAACTGAGATTAATGATTGTGAACAGTTGCTTCAACCTGCACTTCTTGACCTTCTAGTTCATAGTATTTTCACTTGCCGCCTTACAAATCATAGAGCCCTCACTTCCCAGGAAACTCAAAGAACCCAACACTGGCAAGACAGAGCTCTCCAGGAACTTGTCCTGGATGGCTGACAGCATTCTGTCAACTGAGGAATTGGGCCCTTCGTGGCTAAAATTAGATTAAAAATTCTTCAGGGAAAAGAGCTTTCCTCTAAAGGGAAGCCTGCAACAAGCTTCTCTGTCACTGTAAAACAATGATGATAGGTGGATTAGGTAGTAGGCTAGAGAGAGAGATATGTCATCACTGATCTTTGGACTGCTTGTGAGGGAAACAATGAGTAACATTGGACAGTTAAGGTTTCAAGTAATTTAAAGCATCTACAATGTAATGAATAGACATCTGGCAGCAGTATCCTGTTCCAGTTAGCACATCATTTTGGATAGCTGGAGTTCAGCTAACTGAGGTTGCACTATAAATGCATTATAAAGATTTTCCAGTATGCAGCTCCTTTAACTCTGGAGGTCTTCAAGATTCCTATATCAAATCCACTGCTTAAAAAAGAAGAAAAAAAAATGTGTAATGTAGTGAATCCAACCAACATATTAAATACATTAAAGCCTGAATCTTCCTGCCAAGGCTGACTGGTCTGGGATGTGGAATGTGTGGTTCTCTAAGACAGCTACAAATAGATCTTCTCCCACCAGAGCTGAAACAGCCAGCTGAGCTGGCCAGCAAAAGTGTAAAGCAGACATTAATCACAGCAGCCTGCACCTTCCCTCCACTTGCAAGCTCTGTGTACCAGCAGGAGGAAGAACAGAGAGCACCAAACACAGCTGAGGCTAGACTGCTCTTACGCACTACCTGAATTATTGCTAGCTCAGAGGCACTGTAACTAGTTTGTTGCTATTAACTTTCCTGTGTGATGCATTTTAACCAAAAGCAACATACATGCAAAGCACCCATCTGACTGGTTTGTCTGAGGTTCTCTCTGATTACATGGTAAGAAAGCTAATTCCCCCCCCCCCAGGAGGAAAGAAAGTCAGCAAACACAACCTCAGAAGGACCATCATCAGGGTTTCCATCTGACATCTTCAGTACTGAAATCTTAATCTCCTCTTTCAGCTTCTGTTATGTGGATTCACATATAAAGACTGATGCTCTGATAGCATGACTTGCACATTTGGAAAATAAAACTAACCAACACACTCATCACACCTTTTTTTCCCCAAATATATATTGTTAATGAATAAATGCTATTTGGGCTATCTTTGTTTCTGACTGTTTCCTTTCTAGAGCGGCAAAACATTTCCACCACGCCACTCCTTCAGAAATTCTTTTCCAAGTTTCACAACAGTGATACAACTTGTCCTTTGACCATCATTCTTCCAGTGACAAGATACCCAGAATGATACATCAGCCTCTGATGCACTGCCCCTCTCACCAGTTTGTCAGAAATTTGAAGACCTTGAATGGAGAAGTATAACACAGAAATTGATAGGAGCAGATCTTCTTCACTTTCCAGTGCAATACAGAACATTTCCTACAAGCTCTGGAAGACCTTAAACTACCAAGTTTTAAGACATCACTATTATTATGTACTTTAAAGATATTTGAAGCATCCCAAAAGATTTCAGTAATAAATTTTCTATTCTAAGCAACCTACAAGAGTTTTTAAAAATTCCTTACAACATTTCCATAATAGCTTTCCTTCCATCTCAAAGAAAAAAGAAAACCAAAACCAAAACAAAAACAAGCCCCCCCCCCAAAAAAAAAAAAAACCAAAAACAAAAACCCCCAACCCAGTAACCATAAAGCCAAAACCAAAACATGTAAAAGATTCAAAATGGGACAACGTACGATTTTAACTTGTTAACATTCTCTTCAGAAATTACACATATATAGACTACTTATAAGAAAATTGTGCCATATTCATGCTGATAAAAATCCTTACATCACTTAATCATTTCCTTGAGTAAACAGCAGATAAACACAGAGTTCAAATCTAGATGTATCAGTAATTATGTACAGGTACACAGAATTTATTGGTGAGCTACTTCAATCAGGACAACGGTAGTACCTTCTTTTTGCTGCAGTAAATCTGCCATTTCTTCTCTGGAGGGAGTGCAAACATCGCCTCTCTGTTCTTGTCTGTGAGATCCAATTCATCCTGGAGATTGTGAAAGAAAAACAGAAAAAATACAGTCAACAGCTGCATTGGTAACTTCTAATAGATTGAGAGGAATCTAGACCAAGTGTGTTGACTATCCTTCAGTCAAAAGGCAGAGGACTTACTGGCTCCCAAAGACCATTAGCTTAATAATTTTTACCTTGCTACTGTGAATTCTCCCTGTCAGAGCAAAGCCTATGAAGAGACGCAGTCTGCACAACTCCCACGTCAAACTTCCATTACTAGTGATTAGTCAAGGATGGGAAAGATCACATGAAAGGCATGAAGTGAAAAACCCAAAGCACTGGCTTACGTGACACAGACACTCCTTACAACTCTTACAGAAAGACTAAAAATTCAGTACGCCTTTTTCCTGGCCTGCAGTACAAGCTTGGTCTTCCATAGAAGGAGAACTGTGGAATCACTGTATATTTTAAACAAAAGTCATGAGACAGTTGTCTAGTGGCAGTAATGTCAACAACAATCTATAGAAATGAAATGTTTGTCTAGATGTTTGTCGTCTGAATCACACAGTCCCCACCAAAAGACAACCAGCATTTCAGACATGAAGGACGTATCTCTGCACATCATCACATCAGGTTGAACAGACCAGCAAATTCAGTCTCTGTTAAGAAAAGTGAGTTCAGTGAAACATACCCTTTTAGAGCCCAGCCAACCTGACACTTGTAAAATGAAGGCTAATGCTGTGATCTGGAACCAACTCCCAACTCTACCACAAGCTTCCTCTGGAAACACCACTGAATTCCCCAGCTTTGGTTTCTCTTCTGTAAAAGGTGGATAACAATAGACTCTCTTCTTATACAATGTGTGTCTAAAATCAAAGCAGAGACTGCTGCTTCCTCTGTGTTTATTCAGCACTGACCAGAACAGGGCTCCAACCACAGCTGCCAGTTTCAGGTGCTAATGAGAATTAAACAAATAAGAACGGTCTTCACAGCAAGCAGCCTGCATGAGCAGGGACAGATGAAGAAGTCTAAATGAGAGTTTCAGCAATATAAAGACAAGCTTCCAATAACATTTCAATGAATCAGTTTTGGCACAGTTTTCTTTTTCTTATGTATATTAAAGTGTTTGAAGAAAGATGTGTCCAGGGGTCCAATATCAAGATGACGCTGCAGCACTAAGAACGCTGCACATGCAGATTGTGGCACCCACACTAACCTAGCCCAAGCAGAGACAATACCTCTTTAACTCAGCCCAACAATGGCTCATTTGGAAAGCGTTCAGGGCTGGGAAACTTGTGAAAACAGTGAGCTAAATTGCACACTGAGCCTGGTAGCGGCTGCTGACAGATTTAAAAGCCCATAGAGATTTAAGCTGCAAAAAGGTACAAAAGAAATGCAAACAGTAACAAGGTGAGGTCAGTGCCAGCAGCCCAAAGGTAGAAGAAGCTGGAAGGTTTTTTTAAACAAGAAAAAATTTAAAGGCAAAAAAAAAAAAATCCAAAAAAACCCTTTAGCTGTGCAAAAAGAGTGCAAACCATGTGGAAATGTTTAGGGTGAGTTTCCAAACAAGGGGGCAGCCAAGCGAGGCAAGGAGTTTTATCCTTGCTACATACAATTAGAAAGCTCAGGCCAGGATCACATTCTTGGGGGGAGAGGGAGAGTGCAACGACATGTAAGGTCTTAAGACAAGCAAAAGAACGTTGTTGGAGGTCAAGCATGTGGGAGGGAAAGGTGGGGCAGGCAGGGAATCAGAAATGCCAGGTTTGGAAGAACCACTAAAGAGACCAGAATACACAGCTGAAATGAGCTGGCTGGACTCAGCTAGAGTCTTAGAAAAATTATGATTGTTTTATTGAACTGCTTAATGATTTTAGCTTTTTTGGTTGGTTGGCTGGTTTTGGTTTGGGTTTGTTTGTTTGTTTTTAAATAAAGAGCAACTAACCTTGTTTTCTAATCCATACTACTCTTACTGGAGTCTGATGGTAGATCAGACAAGCAGCAAAAGCTCTTCCCAGAAGCTCTGCACAAAACTGAGTTATGATCTCAACCAATATAGTTCAAGACAACCATTTCATCCAAAGAACGCTCCTATTGATTAAAACCACCCAGAGGGCAGGATGCTGCCACTTAGCAGCTTCTAGACACTGCCCTGGACACTGGCAGTATCAGGGACATAAAGAGCACTCTGCCCTCAATGGGGCAATAACAATATGCAACTTTCAGTCATGTAATTTTGCGTCCTGATAGCATGACATTCTTGTCAGGACAGAAGCCTAGAAAGGTACTTTGAAGAGATGGAAGATCCAGTGGGAAGAAAGCACATCCACACCCTACTTTGTTGTGACTCAAGACAGTAGATTAAACCAGAAAAACATTAGAAGTCATCACATTAGCTCAAGTAACATAGTAACAGGGAAACCGCTCAGGGTTGCAGGCATAATGTGATCACCAGAGGCAGTCCCAAACACCCCTGACTGGCAAACAGCACACAGAGGATGGATAACCCTTCCCTTTGAAACAGGTAGTGTTTGTCTTCATTAGGAGGCAAAACACTGAGTTCTAACCCCTGGGTCAGATGGGCAGGTAGCAAGCATGAATATTCAGCAGTGAAAGAGATGCCTTCTCCAGAATGTAAAGCAGCAGTCAAGCTCTTCAACACCATTTCCCGAAGTTAGCCTTCAGCAAGAGTGCTCCTTCACTCAGAGGAAAAAAGGAGTGGGAGGAACTCAAGAGGCCTACATGCCCCCCTCTACCTATACCAGTAATCAAATCCTACCCTATAAAGAACCAAGAAATCCCTGCAAAATACAAGAGACGTGAACTCTTCTTCTGGAACCCTCCAAATCATCTTCCCTCTCCCATCCCCAGCCCCTTTCTATAGAAGGTCAGAAGACCACCATGACTGCACAGGAGACCCTTGGTTCTAGCTAAGAAAGAAGATCCTGGATCAGGCAGACCATTTTCCTATTCTTATTCAGGATCCTGACAGACAACACAAAGAAACTTGCTGCTTTGGAGGAAAACAAGAGGAATGACAGAATAAATTTCAGAAGAATAATTTTCTCCATGAATAGGTCATTCTGACCTAACAACAGAAGCAGATCTGTCAGTATGTAGAACTTCAGACTCTAGAGTTAGCTCAGTGACAGCAAGCAGCTATTGAAGGAGAAAGGAATTGCAAAGGTTGGCAGGAAAGGGGAAGAACTATAAACTCTGAATGCAGTCATCAAGACTGGGGTTGGAGCCAGGCTAAGGAAGCCGATGTGACCCAACACCCAGTGAGCAAACGTAAAGGGCAAGAAAAAAGGATCAGTCAGAACAAAGGGAGGATACACCCTCCTCCATCACCTGTGCCAGTTTCCCAACAGAAACGTAGAACTCCTCTTCTGCGCCTTGGATGGGCGGCTCAGTTCCAGCAATTCATGCCAGCATGACCCTGCACAACAGAGCTCAGCCTCCTGGCTCTTAAAAATACTTGAAGTTGCTAGTGTTCTCATGAAACACAGATTAAAAAGATATTTGCCAGGCTGGCCTGAGGGAGATGTAAAGTACCTCCAGTTAATATTCCTTACATTTCTCTCCTTTATCTATTTCCTATTTTATTTTATTTACTGAGAGAGGGATACATTCAAGTTAATTTCACTTTCATGTGGGCTTTTTTTTTTTTTTTTTTTTTTACTTACACAGATTCAATTTCAATGATAAAACATTTAAGGTGTACTGGAGCTGGATTTGAGGTTCAAATATTTCCAAGTCCAGCTCTTAGGCCAAAAGCAAAGATGGCCTCCATTCAAAATGGCTACAACCCAAGGAAATAAGAGACAGAGAGAAAGAAAAGGAACAAGGAGGAGGAATGGGTAGGAAACATAAAACCAGAATTTTGTGGGATTTAAAGCCACATTATGTCTCTTGATTTTGAGAACATTAATCAAAGTGTGAAAGCTGGATTTGATGCTGGGTAGCCATTGGCTTGATAACGATAACACCCAAAGCCCCAGAAGAGCTGGACAGAAAAGCATTGTCGCCTTGACTGGGCAGCACTTTTCTTAGTGATGTGAAATTAAATTAATATAGACAAAAAGTAATATTTTGGTAATGTAGAAGAGTGGTTCTCTTGGAGAGAGAACGACTAAAGAAGAACCTTTATTGCCTACCAAAACGCTGCATCTCTAAAGGAGAGCCTTTAATGCCTACCAACATCTCTGTACTGAAATGTGTATGCCATCTCCACCATTCAGTCATCTATGAAAAGGTGGGACAGAGTCAGAGGATAGCTGCTCCTTCACAAGGCTACTTCACCTGACCTTGCAAGACAACTTATACAGTCCATAGGAATTTTGGAATTTAAAAGTGGAAAACTTAAGAGTTTGAAAGGCTAACTTAGTAAAATACTGAAAGACACAATGAGACTACCGATTTTCAACACACTGATGCTGAAACCACAGCAGGGGTAGGACAGAAACCTCAAGACTAGAAGTACAGAGAGAGAGTATCAGGGCTTCAGGGCTCCAGCACCTCTTTGCTTTAAGTCAGAATGCTGGAGATCAAGAGCCCCAAACTCAGTTCTCCAGAGATACTTAGATCCTCATGGGAGATTTCCTCAGTTCTGGTTTCTCACTCTACTTGTCCCACTTCCACTGGCTGCCAGACTTCCTGGTCACCAGGAAGCTTCACAGTGACTGAAGGTCAGACAGCTGCAAAAGCCCTGCAAGTACAAAGCCATAAAGCAAACTCTGTAGATGGTCAAACACTTCCCAACTCCCTGCCTCAAAAAAAATGGCTGATTCTGTTGTGACGCAGGTGAGATAATGTCCCTTTCAAGATGGGGATAGCATTGGTATTTGCAAATATATTTTGCGTAGCTCCAAAATTTTCCTTTTGCTTAGTCACACCAGTATTATCCTTAATAGTTCTTTGTGAGTCATCCAACAGGGAACAAAACTGAGAAAGTAGGAATCATATTAGGATTCCTTTACACACTCTAGAAAATCTCCATGCTTTGAAGACTTTCTATTTTAATAACTTGCTTGCACA